GTGTGTGTGTGTGTGTGTGTGTGTGTGTCTTCAGCCGGTCGACGGACTTTGAGGTGCACAGGAACTGGTTGGCCATCACGCACAGCCTGCCCGTGTCCAGGTGGTACTATGAGGTGAGGGAGGAGGAGCCCACACTCACCTGTAAAATAAAAGCACCTGTGGGAGGCGGTGGGAAAGCTCGCTGATGTTTCACGAGGCGCTTTCTCTCCTGCAGAACACGTCCGAGTGGACCCTGGACTACCCGCCGCTGTTCGCCTGGTTCGAGTTCGGGCTGTCTCAGGTGGCGCGCAGCTTTGACGCAAACATGCTGCAGGTGGAGAACCTGAACTACGCCAGCCCGGCCACGGTGCTGTTCCAGAGGCTGTCGGTGATCGTCACCGACGTGGTTTTCATCTACGCCGCCAGAGAGTGAGTGTGTCCCCGGGAAACAGCTGGAGCTTCTGACACAGCTGTTTCCTGCTTCCTGATTGGCTCTGTCCTCCTCCTCCAGGTGCTGCAGGTGCGTTCGGGACCCAAAGGGATCTCGGGACATTTTGAGCCAGCCGTCCTTCGTCCTGGCCGTGCTGCTGCTGTGGAACTTCGGCCTCCTCCTCGTCGATCGTATCCTGCAGCTCTGCCTGTGCGCTAAACTGCCGGCCTCCGCGTGGCGGCAGCGTGAACGCCACCCTGGAAAAGTTTTTAATGCGGTCAGAGGGAAACGGAGCTGAACGCGTCCTGCTCAACATCCACTAATGTGACATTTAAAGAACAATTAGGTGTTTGTCATGAACTCTTTACAGTGAACCAAGGCTGTAATCCCACTAATTACACCAAATCTATTTAAGGTGACAAGTGACGACATTTACACGGAGCAATCCGTCAGCCTGAGCAGTTTCAGCCTGTGATAAAAAGCTCCATCGTCTCTATGCTTGTGTCGTGGATGTTGTGTTCCTAATGTTTTGGTCGAGTGCTGGTTTTTCCTTCACTCCCACCTCAGATATTCACTTCCAGTATAACGGCTTCCTGTTCGGGTTCCTGCTGCTGTCGGTGGCCAAACACCTGCAGGTACAAGCTGTGCTCACACTCAGCTGCCTTCATCCTGAGACTCTCCCAAGCAGCTTAGCGTGATTCACAGCTCAGAATAAGCCTCATTCTCTGTCTGAAATGAGCAGTTTTAGCTCCTCCCCCAAGTGGGTGGAGAATCTGTCCTCTCTCTGTGACATCATACAGTTCCAAGAGTAGAAAAAAGTGATTGTGACGCATCGCCTGTGTGATTCAGTCTCAGCACCTGCAGGGGGCGCTGCTGTTCGCCTTCCTGCTCAACCTGAAGCACATCTACCTGTACGTGGCCCCAGCGTACGGCGTCTACCTGCTGAGGAGTTACTGCTTCACTCAGGACAACAAAGGTGAGGTCCAGCCCATGGCTCCTCCTGCTGGTGTGAGTGGGTACTGCGTCTGTGCCGGACTACTGACCACGTGTTTATTTTGCAGACGGCTCCATCAGGTGGTCGAGTTTCAGCCTGCGGCGCCTGCTGGCTCTGGGCGCCATCGTGACCTCTGTCTGCGCTCTGTCCTTTGGCCCTTTCATCGCCATGGTGAGAGGTCACCGCAGTGTTTGTTTTTTTGTTTGTTTTGTTTTTTACTGAAGGTCGCTCGACGGCGCCATGACCTGACGATGCTCGTTTGCCTTTCAGGGGCAGCTCCCTCAGGTGCTCTCCAGGCTCTTCCCCTTTAAGCGCGGTCTCTGTCACGCCTACTGGGCGCCGAACATCTGGGCGCTGTACAACGTGCTGGACAAAACCCTGGCGGTGCTCGGTGAGGCTCCGCCCCCTCTGTTTACAGGACATTAAAACCACGCATCATGATGTGGAGGAGGCGGATGGAGGTCTGAGCGCTCTGTTTTTTTTTCCTCCAGGTGTTCGCCTGAAGCTGCTCGACAAGGCGGAGCTTCCCCTGGCGTCCATGACAGGCGGGTTGGTTCAGGAGTTTGAGCACTCGGTCCTTCCCTCCGTGACGCCCGCCGTCACGCTCGTCTGCACGCTGCTGTCCATCCTGGTGAGTCGAGCTGGACACTGAGACCCTGAGCTGAACCCGATTGTGTTCACGTGTGGGTGTGGTCACGCTTTAACGCCCGATCTCCTCCTCTTCTCTGAAGCCGGCGGCGGCATCCATCTGGCTCCGCCCTCGCGGTGCTCGGGGCTTCCTACGCTGCCTGCTGCTCTGCGCTCTGGGCTCCTTCATGTTTGGCTGGCATGTCCACGAGAAGGCCATCCTCATCGCCATCCTTCCCCTCAGGTGAGCGCCGACCCGTCCTGTCACATGATGATGTCATCAGCTGACGGTGCGGTTTGAACGATTTCGCCTTGTTTCTCTTCCCGCAGCATCCTGGCGGTGGAGAACAGAGAGGATGCTGGGATCTTCCTGATCCTGACCACCACAGGTCACTACTCCCTGTTCCCGCTGCTCTTCACGCCTGCAGGTAAACAGGAAGTAGTTTAATCATTACGTTTGTTCGGCTAGCAGAAACGTGTGAGAGCGCCGCTCGCCAGGGGCTCCAGCGTGCAACAGACTCAACATTACTGCGTTTAGATGATGATGATGATGATGATGGTGTGTTTTTCAGAGCTGCCCTTTAAGGTGGCGCTCATGCTGATGTTCAGCATCTTCTCCTTCACTGCTCTCAGAAAGCTCCACAGGTAAACACAAACACTACTACAGTATCAGTGTAGTTACTACTTGGATACCTTAAAGTACTTTACTTTTAGTATTTTAGAAGTAATCGGATTACTCTGCCCTCAGTGCTCAGGGGTTTCTGCTCCATCCTCTGGAGGTTATCTACCTGCTGGGGTTGGTTGCCGTGGCGATTGCCTGTGAGGTTGTCTTCCCGCTGTCGCCGTGGCAGCAGAGGCTGCCCTTCCTCCCCCTGCTGGTGACTTCGGTGTACTGCGCCATGGGAGTTTGTTACGCCTTCCTGCGCCTGTATGCCAGCCTGCTGCTGCAACGGGAGGACAAGCCTAAACTGCTGTGACACGTCGCGGGTTCGATCCCCAATACCTCTGCCTCCGAGCAAGGCACCGACATGACTGCTCACGGGGACGGGTGGCAGGAAGTGGCTGAAAGTGAGCTGAGGATGCAGCAGGAGGCGCTCTGAGACGTCCTCTGAGCAGCAGTGAGAGGAGCTGAAGCTCTGACAGAGGCTGGAGCTGTGAGGAAGAACCCGACTGTAACTCCACCCAAAACTGCAGAAAGGGCGAGCGGCAGTGAGAGAGTCGTGTTGGTGCAAAGAACTCGAGTGGACCAAAAGCTGCACCCACAATGTTTTTAGCAGCTTTGTCTGATTGTTTAATAAAAAGATGAACAAATCTGTGTGTGTGTGTGTGTGTGTGTGTTGCACTCTGCCTTTGATAAAGGGCCAAAGATTCAGACGTTGTTCCCGCAGCAGGTCTGAGTTTGGCATCCTGCTGTATAAGAACTCCTTGTTTGTGTATTCATTTGTTCAAAGGCACAACCACTTATCAACTACTCACAAAAGCACAGCGCTCATCTTTGATGAGGCAGAAACACGACCAGTTCAGTCAGTCCCCGTATGTATCTGCAGATTTACAACCACAGTAACATCAGCGCAGCTGAAAACTGTCGAAGACAAGAAACAAAACAAGTGACAGGATCACTTCAACATTCAAACATCTTTATACGCTAAAATATTTAATCAAGCTAAAACATAATTAAATGAGGCAGAGGTGGGGAGACCAAAAAAACAGGAAACTTTGAATGTGCACCAACAGCTGTTTCAGCACATGAACTGAATCCCCCACTACCAGGCTTTATGATATTTAAGCTTTAGCTAGTAATCAACCACCCAGCAGGCTCCTGGGTGGTTCCTCAGGGGTTCCACTGGACTTACTGTAAATCAGAAGCTGGACTTCACCACGTTGGATTTGAAGAATAAAAAACAACAAATCTGCGACAGGCAGACCCCTTCACCTGACTCTCAATTGATTTTAATCATGTGCTTCATGAGAAACACAAAACTGAACCACTCATCATCATTATCAGTAAGTCCATCCAGCTGCTCTGAGATTGTAAACAGCTGGAGTGCCATCGCGTTATTGGATCAAAGTACAAAACTTTATTGTTTTTGACATTTTTGCCAGCAAAGTATCGATAAAGGTTCTTAAAAAATGAAAACACAGTGTTTGGGTTTTTTATACATTCTTTAATGGGGCTAAATGAAAAGCACACAGTTTGCTTAAAAGCTTAATTGATAAGGCAGCACAATACATGAGTGGTTAGGACTGAAGATTTTACAGGACACATTTTCACCATAAAAATCTGTTGCACAGTAGGACCTGTTAGCTTAGCCAGACATCCTCAGACCCTCCTGACGTGGTCACACATGTCACCTTGTAAAAATAAAAACATTTAAAACATTCAATCGAGCGACCTGTCGCACAAAACTAGGCCGGTAGTGTGCTTGGCCTTTAAACTTATAGCATATGTATTGCTGTGAGAGTCCACTAGAGGGTGCAGTGGAAAAAGTGGTTTATAAAAAACCCCTCCTGATTCGTGCAGCTGAGCTGATCATTATGCCGACCGTGTTTTGCAAAAATCGATAAAAAGGTTATGATCGATATCTTGTAGACTGTGCATGCAGCCACCTCTGGTTTTTCCCCTTTTCCCAAATTTTGCTTATGTCTGATTTATTTTTCACACGTAGGTGAATGCAAACTTCATCTAAACGCCTGCTGTTGGTGTGTATCCTGTGGATGGATACTCTTAATTTACGCTAACGTTACTCAGTGTGCTGACACGTCCATCATCCTGTTATTGTACCTAATCCTTCTCATTAACCTGCTCTCTTCTCTTTGATTTATTATTAGTGCTGACTAGCTGCAGATGAACCACCACACAGATATGAAGCCAGGGAAGGCGGAGCATGAAGGTTGGCAGTTAGCGTCTTAGTCATCCTCCCTCACTGGCGTTACGTTTTGTTGCTTTTGTAGTTCTCTGTATTATGAGTTGAGCTGGGAGTTACCCACAGTCTTGTTTTTGGTTAGATAGGAAGCAGATGGTTGGTTCACAGCCTTCTTTGTCTTTTGTTTATCTGTTTTTCCTTTGAAAGTAACTTTATTTTAATTAATATAACAGCAGCAGCATGGTGACAACTCATATTAGGTTTTCTGTGTGCCTTTGAATTTGAGGTTATAACATGTTTGGGGGCTTGTCCGGGACACAGGACCTCTCATACCTTACAACACTGTACAGTCTATGCAGCAGATGTCTTCCTGTTTAAACTCTACTCTACCCCAAAGGTTTTTTCTCCTGAAATGACCAGAAAACTTGTTTTTGATATACGGTTTTAATAACGGTGATAAAATCATTGGATATGTTGTATATTTGAGATTCCTCTGTTGAACTGTCCTCCACCCTTCATTAATGACACATCCTCAGGTATAATAATTCCACTCCAAAATGGTGGAAATGTGCGCCTGTTCACTACGTTTAACTGAAGACAGCAGGACATTCATCTACATAAACCTGCTGAACCTTTCAGTAGATTCAGAAGAAAGTGATCAGTGGGTAAAAAGTTGTTTCATCTGTAGGTAGTGCTACTGAAACCAGTGCAGGAATGAATAAAAGTGCAATTCCAACAATGGCCACTAGATGCCATCTCTAATTCGCATTCAAAAAGCACAATTTCATTGAGTCCTTTTTTGGTCTCTTTCACTAAATCTGAGGAAGTGTGCGGGTGCTCACATCTTCATTAATATCATGTTGAGGCTTTGATGTGTTAGCTTGGTTCACTGGGACGAGTACAAAGCTTCTCTCTGAGAAGCAGAGCAGTAGATAGTGGCATACAAATGAGGTCAAGCATAGTACTTGAGTAAATGTGCTTAGTCCTCCACTGTGAGTGAGATGATAGGTTGTTCTGCCCTCAGGCGCCCCAGTTTGGTCCGGCCTGACCCGAGTGGACCTTTGGACTGGCCTGCTGCCAATTGAGCTGATGGAGCAGCTTTGGTCCCTGAATGCACCGCTTCGCTCTGATATGGAAAGTGGATTTATCGACCCCACAGACTGTGTGTTAAACACATCACGGCTGCAAGATGTGTTTGAAACATTTAGTTTTGTCCTCAAAGACATGAACCTGTGTGGGGGTGAAAGATGATGAAGCCTCCTCCAGAGGAAGAATCAGATCCTTTGGCAGCATTAAGAGGATCAGCTGTACGGTAATCTCCCGGCTCACAGAGACAGCACCTTCTCCAAATCACTGTCTCAGTATTACAAAACTATTAGCACACAAATCGCTGTAGCAGTATTCTCAGACATGGATGCATAGCCACAGTTCAGGTCCTTTTACTGTGCTTCTGTCTCAGTATTGATGGACTGTTTGTTTGCAGAAAGTGTAGCTTGATGCTTTTCTTATAGATCAAAGTCAGATGAATAAATCTGGGGCGAAAATCTTTGATGTTGAGATGTTGAAAAGATTTAAAGTTTTTCTGAAAGCTCGTAGTAATTAGAAGAATTATTACTATTAGTTATTATCATCATTATTATTATTGGTAGTTGTTTTTATTAATGCTGCTGTTAAAACTCAACCTCAGGTATCTCAACTTTCTGATTCTCAGTCCAGCGTCAGTGCGACACATTTTCTAAATAGTTGAAGCAGAAATTAGCAAAATGTTGGATGAAATGAGGTTCTCTATGGCAAAGGAATATGAAGACCTTGTTCCCACTGCAGTGGTGTTGGTTCCATACATATAGCACATACAAGAGAAAGACTTGGTGGCACCACAAACTCCTGGTCCAGGGGGACCTACAGCAGGAGGGGGTTGGCAGATGCAGCTCACAGAGTCCATCGTGACCTTCTTCACATGAAAATCAGCCAGGCTTCCTCTCTGTAATATTAAACCTGTCCAAACGGCCAATCACAGCTCACTGCTTCCACGTTTCTCTCACTGGTTGTTCCCCGTCCGGCCCTCAATAATGATCAGTAAGACCGGCGTCAGGTCCATCAGGGTCTTCAGCATGTCCGTGATATCTTCGTGGTCTTTGGCTCCCTCGATGAACTCCTCCAGGGTCAGCTCACCTGCAGGGTCAGAGGTCAGAATCCATAATTTAATGAACAAAATGCCTCTTAAACACAACACAGACCAAAATGTGGAAGAGCTGCCCATCAATTATATAGTGGGAAGTCGTTTGGGGTGTAGGTCGGATCTTCAACTGTGTCGTTTACTAATTATGTGGTTGATTGTTGGCTGTCATGCGACTTTGGTCCAGATCTGGCAGAGAGGAGTTACAGAGTTTACTATCTGAGCTGGGCTCAGCTGTCTTCATTACCTTCTCCTTTCACATCAATCCTCTCAAATATGAGCGAGACGATTTCCTCGGGGTCGATGTCTTTGTTCCGTGTGATGTCTTGGATGGCCTGCAGATGGAGACACCAAGGACAAATAACAAGGTTCTCAATAAGTTTCTGAATCATGAAGATGAGTCAGCATTCAGTAAAATAATCTCTGACTGAGCTTAACGTTTTGTATCGGTCAGTTTCAGGTTTTTCATAACTAGTAATGGGTACCGGTATCCCATGCCATGATGGCACCGGTTGTGACATAAGTCAAAGTCAACTTTATTTGTCAATTCTGCCACATGTACAGGACATACAGAGAATAGAAATTTCGTTACTCTCAAACCCTAGATGAAATAGCAAATGAACATTTAAATATAAGAGAGTGATTAAAAAATGCAAATAAAATAATTAAAAAGTAAAAATTTAAATAAATAAATGCAATACAAATTAACAAGAAAGCTATGCAATATACAATAAACAATATTCAGGTAAGGGTGAATGACACTGAGTGTAAACCAGGCAGAGTAGTGCAAATAGGCAAATAGTGCAAATGGAGATAATAAAGAAATAAACTACCAGGCTTTAAAAGAAATAATAAAAAAAATAAAGAGAAATAAACGGTAGTAACCAGACCGAAAAGCAGCGCACATTTCGGTGCTTTTTTTTCCTGAGCTGTGATACACTTTAGATTCTAGCCAATCATTTTACGTTTCCGAGGATAGTAGGCGGGGCCAGGTACGTACGTTCTTTTAGAGCAGAGCTACAGATTAAAAATGCCCAAGGCGAAGCGGTCAAAGTCTGGCTGTACTTCACAGCAAAAGATGCAAACTCAGCAGCAACAAGTGCTTTAAGCTGATACTGTGATACTGTCAAAGGAGGTAACACCTCGAATCGATGAAACACCTGGCGACGCATAGCGTTTTTTTAAAAGCCGAGAAATGCGCCGTATTTGATAGCTTGCTGCGAGACCTCACACCGAGCACATCTACTGCGGGTGTGGTGCCTGTTATCGGACCCGGAGTTAGCAACATCCCCCAAAAACCCGAAGAGGAGAGTCCTGGCCCCTAGCCCTGCCAGTGTAGCAGAAATGATGAGGATGATGATGCAGCAGCAGCCGTTCTTCTCTGCGTGAGTAGCTTAATGTTGTTCGTGTGTAATTTACGTTGAGTAGGCTAACCACGTTATTACATTAATGCATGTAAGGTGAACTAGCAAACATCATCATAGCTACATGCGGCTGTCTTCTTGTTTGATGGCAGATGCTCCCTTCACCCTGGCCAAAAAGGCTAAAATGACCAAAGAAAAAGTGGAAAACAGTAAACATGAGAGGTTTTTGGACAAAGTTTGTGTTTTTTCCATTGATTAAGCACTGCTTCCAGCCAAGAGTGATACCATATATGCCCCATAGCTGCAGAAAAGGCTAACATTGTTATCTTTTTACAAAAAAACAGCTGAACATGAGAGGTTTTTGGACCAATTTTGTGTTCTCCATTCTTTAAGCACCGGTTTGAGCACCGTTTAAGCACCGGCACCGTTTCAAAAGTACCGGTTTGGCACCGGTATCGGATAAAACCTAAACGATACCCATCCCTATTCATAACTGCGGCTGCAGGGATCGCTCAGTCCAAAGAAGAAGAACCAATGATGTCACGAGGTTCTTCTTCACCACCATGGCCGGTGAAAGCCTGAAACAAACACGTGTTCCTGTCAGGAGCGATTCAGCTGTAAAAGATCAAAGAATCCACGTTAGGATGCAAACAGAGGACCTGGAGGGGGCGTGGTGGTCTCACCAGCTGTTTGCTAAGTTGTTCATGTTCAGGTTGGAAGGAACCCTTTTATAATGCTAACTCATATTTCGTATCTGACGAGTGAGCATTCGGCCACCAGTCTGGTTACTCTGCAGGGAACGACCAGTACTGTGGTTTAGCTCACGGTATCCGTGTCCGAGGCTCCGAGATTACCAACTCCAGAAGCTGAATCAGATGTTTCCGATGCTTTAAAGATGTCCTGGTAAATGTAATCTTGTTCTCCATGTTCTCTGGTCCACGACTGGTCAGAACACAAAGGGAACGGCTTGTTCCACTTTCAGCAGTTTCCTTGACTGATTGATTGAGCTCAGAGGATTAGCAGCGGTCTAAGTTCAGAGCTAATCCAGCCCTGTTCTCTGTGCTTTTGATTCAGGATCCATGTGGAGAGGGACGCTCTTGATTGCAGTCCAACTTTCCTGTAAAGCTGGAAATATTGCAGATGTCTAGTGTGTGAGTTTGAAACCATCCATCCATCCATTCGCTTCCGCTTATCCTTTTCAGGGTCGCGGGGGGCGCTGGAGCCTATCCCAGCTGTCATAGGGCGAGAGGCGGGGTACACCCTGGACAGGTCGCCAGTCTGTCGCAGGGCAACACACAGGGACAGACAACCATTCACACTCACATTCACACCTAGTGGCAATTTGGATTTTCCAATTAACCTATCCCCACAAGCTGCATGTCTTTGGACGGTGGGAGGAAGCCGGAGTACCCGGAGAGAACCCACGCAAACACGGGGAGAACATGCAAACTCCACACAGAAAGACCCCGGCCTGATGTTGGAATTGAACTCAGGACCTTCTTGCTGTGCGGCAACAGTGCTAACCACCGTGCTGTTTGAAACCAGTTTTCTATAAATACATAAACCTTTCTGTGGGACTAAGACAAAATGTAATTGCTGCACCGACCTTAAAAGACACCATGACATCATTTGAAGCTTGAAGCAGTCGACGCAGTGTCAGCGGGATTAAACTGTCTTAAGATAGAAGCTGAGCAGGCAGCATTAAAAAGCTCAAAGACAGGAGAAGATTAAGCCCGTGTCAGCGTGGTGGTCCGTTCATTACCGTGAAGATGGTCTCCAGCTCTTCCTTGTCGATCTTTCCGTTGCCGTCCTGGTCGAACAGTTTGAAGTACCACTTCAGTTTCTGGTTGATTTCTCCCTTCAGCATCAGGCTGATGGCTGCGATGTACTCCACAAAGTTAATGTAGCCATCCTGCAGACACGAAGCAGGGAGTTAAAACCGCACCAGCGAGGGGGCGTTCAGGGACATCCTGTAAGATTCACACCTCAGTTTTAATATGGACGTTTGTTCAGCTTCACAAAACCAAAGCAGAGCAAACGTGACAGACAGAGAGTCTGATGCTGTGGTTCAGCTGTGCAATAATTCTGCACATTAAAAACTGTAGGTTTATGTTACTGTAATACTTACAGGGGTTTTATGACCAGTTTCCACAACAGCAAAACTCGTAGATGAGACTAACAATCATCAGCATTCTTGGGCTGCACATTCACCGATCAGCTGACACTGAATCTCAGCTCCTGATTGGTCAGACTGCGGCTTCAGTCCATCACGTGGTGCTCAGTTTGAGGACTCAAAGTGCTTTTTTCACCACGCAGGTTGGAGGAGCCCAGGATCGAACCACCAACCATCCACATTATAAAACCACCTCCTAAAGTCTCCACACAGAGCTCAACCATTCATGCCTCCAGGCCTCTGTGGGAGGACCTCTTACACCTGAACATCCACCCAGTTCCAGCTTTATTGAAATGTGGACTACTTGTTGTAATAAATGGTTAAAATGCCTCCTGCTCTTCATATTTTACACGTGTCGTTGCTGCAGGCTGAAGCCTTTAATCCAGAGGTGGCAGAAGTACAGATACCCGGGTTTAAAAATACTGCGGTAAAAGCTGAAGGGTGAAAAAGTACCGAGTCTGAAATGTACTCAGAGTCAGAAAGGACAAAGCGAACTGAACCTTGTGCTATATTAAGAAAATAATAAAATAATTTTAGTACATGAGATCATTTACCTGGAGATCTCCTGCTGCCCTTCACCTGATCACAGCATCCTCACACACACAGCTCTGCATGCTGATGGAGCAGGAAGTCCTGCCTCTCCCGGTCGAGCGAGCGCTCTGCACCACAGAGCGATTTTAACGTTTCCATGAAAGCTTTGAGTTTAAAGACTCGTGTTCACAGTATGAGCAACATTTCACATGTGCTGACGTCTGGTTTCATGTTGACAAGAATCAACCTCCAGACTGAAACATGGAGCTGCAGTTCATCTGGTGTCCAGCAGGGGCAGCAGAGTCAGTCCCATAGACTGCCATGTTAAACCTGACAGCAGAATAAACATGTTTGCAGCCTGATACACAAACTGGTCTCTGTGGAGAACTTTGAAACTGCATTCAGGATTAAGGTTGGTGTTATTAGAGGCGTGGCCTCTGTGACTGACAGGTGGATGGTGGCACTTTGATGACATCATGTGACCAATAGCACGGCTGCTGTGAGTTTCTAGGAGTTTATTCGGACTGACTCTTACATGTAACCACGACTACACCATCACCTACGTTAATATTTCAAAACGAGGGATTTCTGATTTGAAGATTCATGTGGTCGCATAGCAACAGCTGCCCAGGCGACACACTGTCAACAGGTTTCTGTGTAAAACTTTATATTCAGCCTTGTATGTGAACATCGACCACAAGCTTCTGTGTCCACTACTTTAAAAACATAGCCTTTAGATATCTGATGACTGGTTTTGGTACATCCTGTATCCACAGTCAGATTTATCAATAAGGAAAGCCCGGTCAGCATTATTGATTATTGATTGGGCTCATTCACAAGCTGCAGAGCTCTCAGCTCAGGTCGAGTTTTCTCTCATAAATCAGACGTTTTCATTTCAAAGCACGTCCCATGTAGAGTCTTTTTTTCTTTAAGCTGAGCTTTCATGTGACCTTTAACCCCACTTTAGTAACACTCGTCTCAAATTGATATCAAAGCCTCATAACTAGCTGTCATACTACCAGCCTGATATGACAGGTTATATGTCATTATTAGATGTTTTGGTCTAATAAGGTGCAGGAAAGCAAATCAGCTCTAAACCCGTCGACGTGTCACTGCTGTCAGATTACTTTTACTTTCCTGCAGAAGCCGCGTCCTATAAACATGGAAGAACAGGCTGGGCAAACTGACGTGGAACGCACCCCGTCCATGTCGAAGGTGAAGAAGACCTGCTCCACGTAGCGGTTGGCGTCCTCGTTCATGCCCTTCAGGTTGAGTATGGCCTTCAGCTCGAACAGCGTGATGAGGCCTGACGGAGACTCCTTCATGAACTTGTTGTACCAGTGGTGCATGTCCTCTGCCAGGATGTCGTCCAGGGTCGAGCCGTGGTTCCCCATGGCGGAGGAGACCGAGGCCCGGTGCGCTGCTTGTTAAAGGCGGTCTGCAGTCCTGCGATCCTCCTCAGGACAGGAAACCCCACAGAAGACGATCAGGCTGCAGGCGGAGGCTCGAGGTGGCCCACATCCAGGCTGCCGTGACTCTGCAGGCACCGAGCGAACCTCAGGACTCTGTAACCCTCTTAGGTCCTGCAGGAAGAACCAAAGAAGCACTGAAAATAACTCCCTAATGAGATCACCACAGGGCTGTGCTGCGGAGGCCGATCCAGGACAGGAGGGCGGGATGGCCCTGGAAGCAGAATTATGTAACCGGCTCACCTGGCAGGCTGCGTTCACACAGAGCGGTTTCCCAACGTGACGCCCACCCAGGACGTTCCTCGCTGCTCAGCTGAGGGGAAAAGTTCAGAAACACACGAGAACCAAGGAGAAAGACGCCCACGCCAGAGAACAAGCAGACCACTGAAGACCAAGACCAGCTGCTCCCACGGTGCAGGGATCCAGAAACGTCTGTGACTATTTTTCTCCTTCTTTCACACGAGCAGGCAGTGAAGGAGGCACGAGAACTGATGACTTCAAAGCAGTTACTTTGGTTTAGTTTCTTTCAAAGCTCTGCTGCGTGTCAGTTTCTGTTCTGGAAAGTTTGCTTTAAGTAAGTTACCCATGGCCGTTTCCTTAATTATTCCACCCAACGCCTGAAACCACGGCCCGAGCATCAGCGGCCTCAAGCAGAGACGCACGGCGCTCTAATCAGATCATCCAGGCAGCGGCTGGACCTGCCGGCAGGTTAAATCAGAGCTGAGACGTCCTGTGGGTCACACTTTCATCAAACAAGAAAAATAAACACAAAATGTAGTTTCTGGTCACTTTGACCTGATCAGTGAGTTTCTCCTTAAACTCATGGATGTCATTTTTGTTTAGTCTCTTTATTATTGTTGAATCGTGACCTCTGACCTTAGCTCAGACATGTGAAGCCTGCAGGTCTTCTTCTGGGTTCTTCTCTGACGAGTAATTTTGGTCGACCGGTCACTCCTGGGAAGGTTCACCCACTGTGGGTTTTCTCCCACTGTGGATCAGACTGATGATGTCACTGACTCTGGTGCTTCTTTACATCACAGCAGGAAGTGTCTGAGATCTTTGGCCTGCTTCACGTTGTCACACTGTTTCACATCACTGAAGGCTCAGATGTGAAGATTAAATCTGGCCCGAGTCTTACTGAGGTTGGTCAGGACGCCATGTTCATCATCTCATCGTACCTGATGTGATTTCATGATGTCGCTAAATTTTGGGAGGATTTTTTTTTCTTGTGTTTTGACCTTGAAAGTTTTTACCTGCTGCTGAATGAGCGTACGAAGTTCCATTAGTTTGTCATTATTATCAGGAAGTCCTAAAAACTCCCTGAAAAGCCTTCAGCTGATCCAAAATGCTGCAGCAAGAGTCCTGACAGGGACTAGAAAGAGAGAGCAGATTTCTCCTGTTTTGGCTTCCTGTTAAATCCAGAATTCAAAATCCTGCTCCTCACATACAAGGTCTTAAATAATCAGGCCCCATCTTATCTTAATGACCTTGTAGTACCATATCACCCTATTAGAGCACTTCGCTCTCGCTCTGCAGGCCTACTTGTTGTTCCTAGAGTATTTAAAAGTAGAATGGGAGGCAGAGCCTTCAGTTTTCAGGCCCCTCTTCTGTGGAACCAGCTTCCAGTTTGGATTCAGGAGACAGACACTATCTCTACTTTCAAGATCAGGCTTCAAACTTTCCTTTTTGCTAAAGCATATAGTTAGGGCTGGACCAGGTGACCCTGAATCCTCCCTTAGTTATGCTGCAATAGAGTAGGCTGCCGGGGATTCCCATGATGCATTGAGTTTTTCCTTTCCAGTCACCTTTCTCACTCACTATGTTTAACAGACCTCTCTGCATTGAATCATATCTGTTATTAACCTCTGTCTCTCTTCCACAGCATGTCTTTATCCTGTCTTCCTTCTCTCACCCCAACCGGTCACAGCAGATGGCCCCGCCCCTCCCTGAGCCTGGTTCTGCCGGAGGTTTCTTCCTGTTAAAAGGGAGTTTTTCCTTCCCACTGTTTCCTCCTCACACGTTGTGTACCATTGTAATAGATTAACTCTGTGTACTCTGTGTTATTGGGCGATCGTGGCTCAAGAGTTGGGAGTTCGCCTTGTAATCGAAGGTTGCCGGTTCGAGCCCCGGCTTGGACAGTCTCGGTCGTTGTGTCCTTGGGCAAGACACTTCACCCGTTGCCTACTGGTGGTGGTCAGAGGGCCCGGTGGCGCCAGTGTCCGGCAGCCTCGCCTCTGTCAGTGCGCCCCAGGGTGGCTGTGGCTACAATGTAGCTGCCATCACCAGTGTGTGAATGTGTGTGTGAATGGGTGGATGACTGGATGTGTAAAGCGCTTTGGGGTCCTTAGGGACTAGTAAAGCGCTATATAAATACAGGCCATTACCATATTGTTAATTTGGAGACTACAATGAGTCTTTATTTGTAAAGATAAAACTTTAAAATACAGTTAAAAGTCTCAAATTTCTACTCTGTACTTCACCAGAGCTCAGTGGGCCAGACTTGTACAGCTGACATCCACCTTCATGTGTTTAACGCCCCTGATAAGTTTGCATTATCAGGGGCGTGTCCTGTTTGACTGACAGGTAGCTTCGTCATCGCGCTGCAGCTGTGACACGGAAAAATCAGAAGTCATTAGCAACTCTTTATTTCTTTGAGCACTGCCAGATAAAATAAAACAGAGCAGATCATCATTACGGTAGCAAAAGTATTTTAATTTCATCATCAGAAGCACTTTGTGACGTCACCGCCTCCTCAGGCTGCGTGTCGCCATCCAATCAAAACCTCGGAGGTTCCCAGAAATCAGTCAAACCTAACGAGGCTTCGAGGGTTCCCTCACAGCTGTGGCTTTAAACACAGACACAAACCACTCATCATCATCATCATCATCATCATCATCATCATGGAAGGCAGCACACAGTAAGAACAGACAGGTCACAGTATATATGGCTGAACAGGAAGAATGCAGTGTTGTGGTGTGGAAAGGCGTTGAGTGGAAACGAACAAGCTCGGCTGGACCTTCGCACGATTGGCCGAGCGTCTTCGCTCATTCGCAGATGGCGGGCGGCGCCTCAGAGTTTCTAAATATTCGCCTCCTGAGCGTCTGCAGGCCTCTTCAGTCAGGTGTAGCTGATACGGGGTTTCTCTCCCAGCACTCCAGGGGCTCGTCGACGCGTGGTCCTCATCGGGCTGAGCTCGTTGCTTCCTGCGGGGGAAACGTTGCAGTTTTTCAGTACATGTACACAAAGTACACAGAGTACTGCACTGATGTCACTCTGGAAGGAGAACAGGTACTTCACCTCGCTCTGTTCTTCTTCTTTGCCGTCTGTCAGTGTAGCGTCTTCGGTCAGGTCCTGTTTCTGCGTCTCTGGCGACCTCGGCTCCTCCTCCTTCTTCTCTGATGATGATGGTGCCTCCTCCTCCTCTTCTTCTGCAGACCCTTTCTCTCCCTCCTGCACATCACCGTCGCCGCTCTTTGACTCTTCCTCTTCGTGAGTTTGGTTTTTCTCAGGAGCTGTTGGGGCGTCTGTTTGATCCTCCTTCTTGAACACGTCACCCTCACTGCCCTGCTCGCCGTCCTGCTCGCCGCCTGCTGCAGTTTTGTCAGCGGGTTCAGTCGTGGAGCTCACCTGTGTGTCTGATGCATCTTTGGCCTCCACCTCTCCACTGCTGGATGTCCTGTGGCGGCGTGATGGCGGACGGCGGCGGATGGAGTGGCGAGCTCTGCCCTGGAGGAGAACCAAAGGGTGATCAACTGATTGTTTAGGCTGGCCGGCGCAGGTATTTACAGGTCACTGAATGCATCACATGAACGCCTTGGAGGGGTCTCACCTTGTTGATGCTCTGCAGGACCGATCCCTCCACCACAGTGGCAGGTTCCTCAAAAGAGGCGGGGCCTTCCGTTTCAGTTACAGGAGAGGTGACTGGGCTGGTGGGGGTTGCTGAGGACGAGGTGGTTACTGAGGTAGCAGGTGGGGCGGAGCCAGGGGAGGGCAGGGGGAAGTTGAGAGGCAGCATCCTGATGCCAGGGCTCTTCATAGGAGGACCCGTGGGCGAGAGCACGAGTTCAGCCTGCAGAGTGATGTCAGAGTGATGTCAGAGTGATGTCAGAGTGATGTCAGAGCGATGTCAGAGCGATGTCAGAGCGATGTCAGAGTGATGTCGGTGCATGTTTACACCAGCAGGGGGCAGCAAAAACCTGCTGGACTCACCTGGATTTTCTCAATTAGACCAGAGTTCCTCTTGACTTTGACAGGTGACGTCGGGGCACCTGCAGGAGGCTGACACACACACACACACACACACACACACACACACACA